ATTAATTAAATGAAACTATTCATAAATATAAATTTCTTTTAATGAAATAAATTTGATTGTTATAATGATTTTAATTGGTATGAATAGTATTAACTTTTACATTTGGACAGAAATCACTCAAATTCAAGCAACTAACTAGATCTGGTCCATTTAGACTATTAATTTTATTAGTAAAAAAACCAATAGAAGTGATTAGACCCATTTGTACCATGAGTGGTACAAGCCACGCAATGGGACAGTCATGTTGCAGTGAGACGGGCCAATAATAGCCTACTCTTGTGTACGATAAGGAAAGAACTGCCAAGTGTATACCCAGTAGTAAGCAGCAAGCAGCTACATTTATTGAAAATCACAGGAAGCTCTGTTCAGGGAGTCTGTACCACCAGACAGAAAAAGATGCCAAGGTGATAGAAAAGCACTGCACACAGGTCAAAGCACACAAACGCATCAAGAGTAACAAAAAGCTCAGGTTTTCATAATTTAAAGGATGTGCACCTCAGCTTAGGTGCCTCCCCCTGAATTTACAGGTCCTGATCAACAGGGTGCTGAGTCATCTGAGGGGCTCTGAACATGCATGCTGTCCCAGAATTCACTCTGATCTTAATTATACTTAAGGTCTGCCTAGGAGATCCGATATGCTTGTGTTCTTGCCTAGAGCATCAGAGATCTGGAATTTGTTATTTTCTACCCCTCTTAGGACAATGGAAGCAGGATTAATCATAGGGTGCTGTTTACAATTAAATGGAGGCGAGTGACCCCCTCAGCTCTGTTGTCTCTAACTGTACTAGTCATGCAGATACCACAGTGATTCAAGCTGGTCGGACCACGTTTGGGTTTTGCAAAATGAAAGCGTTCTGGAAATCTGTTGTATAAAAAAGTGAATGAACTTAACAGAAAATGAACTCAACACTTAAAAGTGGTTGGGTTGGTAAATTTTATATTATGTATATTTTACCACAATTAAATTTTAAAGTGAGTACAATTTTGGGGAGAAATTAAATTTGTGCTTTATAATAGGGCAAATGTAAAATTAAAAATTATATAATTCTGTATCTGTTACTTTTTTCCCATTTCCCCATCATCTGAAAAGATGCTCTAAGCCCAAAGCACTCAGGAAACCCCAGTGCTCCAACAAGCCAGACAGATGATTCATGCAAAGGTCCACTTTGCCTACTCTCCCAGTTGAGCTTTATTCCAGAACAAATTGTTTTACAACAAAGCGATTTTCAACAGCACTTTCCCACTGATGACAGAAACAGCACCATCTCCCTTAACCCACAAACCAAGCAAGCTACTGCTTGGCTGAGTCTGGCATCAGCCACCCGGAAGTATGGAGCCAGGCAGGCAGTGGGCATGACTCAGCCAAGCCTCCTGCTCTGACAGGGAGGAGCCAGTGACCCCACAGCCCGTGAGGGACGCAGGGTGGGAGCCTCAGCTGACAGCTGTTAGTGTGGGTGTGGTCGTGTCCCTCCCTCCCTGACACTGTGCTGTCATCTTCCGGCACACAGTGGCAGGACACTGATGAGAAGTGGCACCGCAGAGCCAGAGTCCACACCTGCAGGTAACCCTGAACTTCTGTGCTGCATCCCACACTGGCCGGGGGCCCCTCTGTGCTATCCCCCACCACAAGGTCAGCGTGCAGGCGTTATCCCCAAGGGCCAGCAGCCCATTCATAAAGTACAGGCCGGGCACTGTTCAGGCAAATGGCCTTTAGTCTCCTCCCCACCCTATGGTGGGAGGCTGTGCCACTTAACACAGAGGCAAACGGCTGGGGGAAGTCACAGGCTGGCCCCAAGTCTCAGTGCCAAGTGTCAGAAAAGATGGGACTCAGAGGCTTGTGTGATCAGAGCTCTTGGTCATTTTGGCATCCCGAAACTGCTCCTTAGGAAATGATTTCAGAAATTTTCAGAAATGAATCTAAAACCCAGTGGTCACAGTAACCATCAATCAGAGGTAAGGCAGCACCACAAGAGGTGTAGGGACATGAGCTGCACACCTGCTGCGGCAACAGACACTCGGATTCCGGACACCGGTGGCCCTGCTCTTAAGAGGCCGGGTACAGCTCTGCTGGGTCCACAACTTAACTCAGACTACTGTGCGGTTTCCCAGGCTTTGGCACAGGGGAACCAATGCTGCATGGGGATGGGAATCCCTGATTTGGGTCACAATAACTATGTCAGTTCCCATTCAGAGCTTCTCTGCCTGCCCTGCTCTCCGCACTGTACCCAAGGACTTCTGATGGCAAGTTTGGGAAGGCGCCGGCTCCCCTGGGAGGTATGGGCTCTGCTAGTCTGTCCAGCCTAGCAGGGAGGGGACAGGCCTCGCAGGGGACCAGGTTCCTATAGTAGCTGTGGCCAGTTTCAGCATAAAGAAAGGGGACAAACAAGGGCTTCTCTTCCACTTTAGGAAGACCCTGGAGGAAGAGGTAAGTGACAAGACCAGAATTCCACCCTGTGGCCCATCTGACATAAGGGAGCTCCAGGACACTGACCACCCCGGATGCCGTGTGGAGAGCCTACTGTTGCTTCCCTGACTACTGCCACCTGACAGGTCCAGTCTATAAAATGTCATTAGTAAAACCACAGGAGTCAGAAGAACGAACTTCCAACAACCCTCGGAGAGGGCTGCACTAAGGGCACAGAGGACAGATGGTGCCAGGAGCTCTGGCTGTGGGCACCGGGCAACATCCTGCCTGCCCTGTCCCACCCAGATGTACTGTCCAGTGTCCCCCGGCCCGAGCTTCCTCCTCAAGCCTCCTCACTCTCACTTCCTTCCATCCTGCACCTCCCCTGTTCCTGCCCCGGTGCTGGAGGCCAGATCTTCAGGCCAGTACTGGTCCTCCATGTAGTGTTCCACGTCAGTGCTGCTGTCAGGCTCCCTGTTCTCGGGGTGCGACCACAGGCTGCTGGCTGCCTCCTGCTCCCACCTGTCTTCCACCAGCCGATACAGCTCCATGGCAGTGGCAGCATCTTCCACGGACGAGTGCCCATGTTGGCCCACCTGCAGACAAGAGCAAATGTCACTGCCTGGTGGGACATGCCACAGGCCACCTAGCTTCAGATCCTACTTCTCCTAATCTTAAGCCATGGTAAAAGCCTGCTTCAGAGGTTGAAGATCAGACAACAGTGAACACAAAGCAGGGCAGGAGCAGGGTCCCCAGCCCCGACCAAGGGCTTTGTGTCTGCTTCTAGGAGACACCAGAACAAACTCCAGGGGTGCAGAACAGAGTGGTCAGGCTGGGGACACACCCAGGAGATCGGCCTGGAAGGTGACCTGGAAGGGAAGGGACAGCCCACAGCCTTGGGGCCACACGGCTTTGCTCCTGTGCCACTCACCTGGATCCTCTTGTGCAGCAGCTGCAGGGCCAGGTCCTTCAGGGAGACTCGGGCTCGGGTGTGGAGGTCAGGCTGGCCGAGCAGGCTCGGGACGCATGTGGTGTCTCGGGTCTGGCTCCGGGGATGGATGTACTTGAGGGCCTGGAAGTCATTGTGCAGCGCGTGCCCCACCACAACCTTGCCCTTCAGGAGCTTAAGGATCTGTGGGTGGAGAGGAACAGGGAGAAAGAGCCCAGTGAGACCTGCAGCAACACAGACGAGCCCTCTCCCTGGCAGTGCCTGGACCCCCCAGGGGAGCAGCACAGGCAGATCGTGGTCAAGCATGCTACCCTGAGTTTGAATTCAGGCCCTTCTTTTTTGTTGCTTATTTTTTTCCATGCTAGGGATTCAACCTAGGGCCTCATGCATGCTAGGCAAGGGCTCTACCACTGAGCTACATCTGCAGACCATCTTGTAATTTTGAGACAGGGTCTCTCTAAGTTCCCCAGGCTGTGCTTGGACTTGTGATCCTCCTGCTTGTACCTGAGTAGCTGGGATCACAGGTGTGAATCACCCCACCTGGCTGAATCCAGGCCCTTCTCCCGATTGTACCTGAGGACACACTTATACTCTGGACCTGTAGGACACCCTGCCCACCACATTCCACAGGTGGCTGTGAGGGTCAGGGATGGCCAGGCTTCTCTCATTAGGGATGTGCAGCCCTTTGCTGCTGGCACAAGCTCTGCTCCCAGCTCCGCCTGGGCTGTGGGTCTCAGTTCACTGGTTCTCCTCAGGAGACCGTCTCATGAACCTTGGCTGTCCAGGACTCTGTTCTCCCCTTCAGGGGACTCATCCTGTGTTCTAGGGACACATTCAGCTCTTGAGATGGTGCAGTCATGCCTCCGCCACCAGTACCCGAGAGCACAGGGACCCTGTGTGACTTGGCCAGTGATGCTCCAATGTATTGATTACTCGTTATTGATCAGTAAAGACCTACCAGGTAAAGTCAACAGAACCATGCCTGGTGCCAGTAAACACATCAAAGGTACAAGCTCTTATTAGTATTAAGAGACACGGTCCCTGGCTTCAGGATTCTGGCCCCCGCACTCCTGGGTACTGACTCCTCCTCCTTGCTCTCCAACCCGGTCTGTGCGCACAACATGTCCTCCTCCTAGCACCCAGGGAGGCTGCATCCAGGCTCTGGGTCTGCAACCCCACTCCTGCCTGCTTGCCCAGGCCTGTGTCATCACCAGCTGCTGGTCAGGCACAGCCCACCTTTGCGGGCAGAGATGAGATGTATTCAGACTTCACGTTAGGGACGCATCACCAGAGTCTCACGCCTCATCTCCCACTCCACCCCTCACCACAGAAAGGGAAGAGACCAAGCTCACCCCACACTGGTGCAGTCTGGACAGACAGAAAGCAGGGCTACTGTGGGACCACCCCCAGCCAGGCGGAGGGGAGGAACTGAGGAGCTGGGGGCTCACACATGGCTCCTTCCTATTGCTCCTGTTCCTGATCCCCTGCTTGATAAATAATCTTCAGTATTTCCCAATTTGCCTAATCCCAACAGCCCAGAAGTGTTACAAAGTAGTTCTGTTCTACTGGTTGTTTTGAAAATGCAACTTGTTCCAATACAATTACTGGATTAGGATACAATTTAAAAATGTTCATTTCTCCTTCCCTCACACCTACTTTTAACCCTGAGAAACACTAACTGAAGATAGGACATGGGGGCCAGCTGGACTGAGCCAAGTGAGAACACACAACTTACACACACCCTTGTGCACCAGGGCCCGGGCTTACGCAGGTGAACACATTCATCAACACATACATGGGCCACTTTCTTTTTTTTCAGTACCAGGGATTAAACTTAGGTTAAAAGCCCGGGGTGCTCTACCACTGAGCTATATCCTCAGCCCTTTTCATCTTGAGACAGGCAGGGTCTTGCTAAATTGAATTGCCTAGGCTTGTCTTATATTTGCAATCCTCCTGAGTAGCTAGGATTATATGCATGCACCACTGCACCCAGTTTAGCGATACCACTTTCAGAATCAACTCTTCTGCCCACACTTGACTGTAGCCCAAGCAGCAGCCCTCCTGGCACCAGCTTCCACCAGCACGCTTTCAAGGTAAAGTGCCTTGCTCATTGGTATACTGCACATTTCCGAATCATTTCACACATGCAAAACTGCACTATCATTTCTTGTTTCTGTGATGTCACTGACCAAGTCTTTCGACTGTTGCACCTAACACCCATTTCCTTGTGAAAATCCAGTGCTGTTTATGCTTAGCATAATTGTTAGGGCCCTCCCCAAGCTAGGTATCTACAGGACCAGAATCTTCATGGAGGAATGAACCTGTTCCTAGCTTGTTAATCAGGGTTTAGATGTTTGCTATGGTCAAGAGCACCTGAGAATTCCTGCTACATTAGTGGGGTCCCAAACACTGAGCAATTTTTTTCAAAGCACTTAAAAAAGCTCAACACCTGAAGGGTTGAGGGCTATGGGCCCTGCACATTTCATACAGATACCTAACACTATAGCAGAAGGCAAACCCCAAAAGGTAAGCTGTTTAATCTTTTATCAATGGCACAGCCTTCTACAGACATCACCCCGTGCCTCACCCCAGCAACCCTTCACAGAGGTGGGCCAGGAATTTTACTCATCCTATTCTAAGAGGCGTGATCACAAAATACGGTAAACGTTTAAATCTAAAAAACAACTTGTTACAGTGAAAGACACTTTGCTGTTAATCCCCCTCACTTTGAACACATCCATCTCATTACTCTTGCTACTTTCTGAGGCAGTTTTGAAGTCCTCTTTCGGGAGTGTCTTTAGTTGTGCTGTTGTGGCTGTCTCAGTCTCCTGAGTGGATTCAAAATGTTTACCTTTCATGGTCATTTTGACTTTGGGGAAGAGTCAGAAGTCACAGTGTCAGATCCAGTGGATAAGGTGGATGAGAACACACTGTAATGTTTTTATATAACAGAAATGACCGTAAACATTTTGAATTGATTCAGAACATTGAGGGAGCTACAAAAAGACATGACAGAGGACTTCCAGAACTGTTTTGGAAAGTGGGAAGAACAATGGATAAGTGTGTTCCAAGAGAGGAAGAATACTTTGAGAAGAATTAATAAAAATCTTTTTTAATGGACTAAGTTTAAAAGTTAAAAATAACATCCATCATATTCTTAGATCACACACATTGAGTATGGAGAAGGACCCTGTTGTTTGGAAGAGGTAGGTGACTTTCTGAAGTTCTGTCATGCCCAGTGGGATCTGAGTTTTATTCAGACTCAAGGCTCCACTACCCAGCCCATCACACAGACCTGGATGAGGACCCGACCCTGCTCTCACCTCTTTCTGGGCCACCTGGAAGGGGATGGCTTTGTGCATGTGCTGCCGCGTGATGCCACTCCAGCGAGTGCGGTAGTCAACGATGGGCATCTCAGGCCGGATGTACTTGTCATAGAGGATGTCACCATGATAACTCACCACGGAGCAGCGGGCCAGCTCACTCACACACCCTCGGGGTCCTGTGCCCACCATCTCACAGTCAATAGCCACGAACTTGCTGGACAAGGGCCCTGAAGCTTTCCTGGGGGCTGGCCTTCTGCTGCCCTGGCCACCGCCACCAGATCCAGCCCTGGGATGCTGCCTCCCGCCACTGGCAGCTTCAGAGCCTGGCGGTGCCTCTGATGGCAAGGAGCCTGACTCCAGCAGCATGTTCAGCAGCCCCTGCTCCTGTAGCAAGGCCTTTCGGGCCATGAAGCGCTGGTACTGTCGGGTCCTCCTCTTGTGCCTTCTCCGGAGCACATCCTTGGCGTTTGGGCTGGTGTTGGACAGGCACTGAGGAGACCCAGGGCCTCCCCCCAGTACCATGCCAGTTAGTTCACAGCCTGCAGCAAGGGACGCCAGGGAGGTGGTCTTTCCTTGGGGCAGCACCCTACAGGGAGAACACAGGAGCAAAGGGGTTTTGTGAGGAGGCCGACGGCCCACCCCTCAGTAATGGAGCTCACAGCACCAACTGGATTGCAGACCTGCCTTACCAGGACCCGCACTCACACCTCTAAGACCGCCTGCTGAACACTGCTGTAACTACGAGGAGGAAGTGCACCATCACCATCACCCCAGCTCCCCAATTACCCTCATACCCCAGGAAAGAAACTGAGGCATACACATACAGATTAAGGACTTTGCCCAATTAGTAAGAGAAAAAGATTGATAAGAACCCAGAATCTGTTGGGTGTGGTGCTACTCACCTATAATCCCAGCGCTCTGGGAGGCTGAGGTAGGGGGACTGCAAGTTTGAGCTCAGCCTGGGCAATTTAGCAAAGCAATTTAGTGAGACCCTGTCTCAAAATAAAATTTAAAAAGGGCTTGGGGGGGTGGGGGGGTGGATTTAGCTCAGTGGTGCCACCTCTGCTCTAGCAAGCTCAAGGTCCTGAGTTTGATCCCTGGTACCAAAAAAAAAAAGGAGGGGTGGGGGTAGGGATGTAGCTCAGCAGAGCTACTAGGGAGGTCACTAAAATGTTGATTAGTATCAGATCCAGAGTGTTACCTGTCCCCTGATGGCACAATCAGAGAATCCTCACACCCTTCAGAGTCCACAGTTACAGTTTACCTCAGCCTGTGAAGGCAGGGATGGAGTCCCACGTGTCTCTGTCCCTTCCCATCAGTCAGCCTCACCCTGGCCCACGGCAGGCCCTCTGGAAAAGTGTGGAGGGACCAAGCTGGGCCCGCTACTAGCTAGACTGTGAGGACCACAGGGCTGGAGTTCACTGTGGCCTCGGGAACTCTAGACTGAGTGGGGAGAGGGAAGAGGTGGAAAAGGTGCGGGTGTGTGGTCCGGACTACAGCAAGGAACTAAGGGGAGGAGCACAGGACAGACAGAAACACTGGGCAAGGGAGGCCTAGAGGAGAGGGGGACACTTGGCAAGGGTCCGGCTAGGTTGGTCCACCAGGCAGCCCAGGAAGGAAAGTTTTGAGAAAAGAGAAGTCATAGTCCCAAAGCACGGGAGCCAAAGCACAGTTCAAAAGGGACAGAGTTAGGGAGCAAGGAGCATGGCAGAGGCTGTGGAGTGACAACTGCTCCTGGGCTTAATCAGAGATGAATGGGGAGCCAGCAAAGGATTTTAGGGGGAAGGTGAACTGATCACAACTGCCCAGCAAGTACAGGTGTGGACTGGATAAGAATCTGGGCAGTAGCAGTAGGGATGGGAAGGGCCAGGAAGTGACACAGAGTGCAGGTTTGCTGATGCCAGCACCCACATGAGGCCTCCTGGCACCGAGGGCCATGGTGAGGCTGGTGACCCATCCTGACTCATCCACCCTGGGCTTGCTCATCCCTTTAAAGAAGACGCTTCACCGTAGTTGACAACTATCTGTTAGAAGTGACAAATTCAGAACCTGGATTTGCCTTAGCTGGGCAATGGCAGAAAATCCAAGCTAAGAAGCCAAAGACCTCCCTGCTAATAACTGGCCCGAGGTGCAGTCTTTTCTCTGAGAAGGGCTGTGGGTCACAGGGTGGATGGCTTTCCTGCCCAATACAAGGTCCCGAGAAAGCCAAAATTAGATTCCCCCGAGAAAAGGTCTCAGTGGCCTTGTGTTTGAAGAGACAAGTGTCTTCCACCTGCCTGGCCTCACTGATTTGTCAGAACCAACACTGACCAGAGTGCCTCACCCTCCAACCCCAGATGGAGCTGGCTCAAGGCGCACACCCCTTTCAGCAAAGGCAGAGACAGACCTCTTACCAGACCACCAGTGCTCTGGGGATCCGCGCTGAAAAGCTTTAAGTATCCCTGGCCCAAGGAAAGGGCCTTGGTGTCAGTGGCAAAGTCCACGAAGCCATGACCGGGAGGAACCAGAGTCCGAGTCACCAGGATTCTGGTGTGGGATTAGACAAGCGTGGCTTTGATTAGATTTAGGGTATAGGGCAAGTAACTTCCAGAAACACTACATTTGTTAAAAGGCAGATTCGCCACACTGTCTGAACTTCCTTAGGGAGAGGATCTTAGAAGTTTTTCCCCTCGCCACACCGGAGAGTAAACTCAGGGCCTTCACACTGACCTATACACATCCCCAACCCTTTAAAAAAATAAAAAAAATTTGAGTCAGGATCTCTCCAAATCGCTGAGTTGCCCAGGCTGGGTTCGGATTTGCGATACTTCTGCCTCAGCCTCCAAGGGTGCTGGGATTATAGGCACCCCCTCGTTTATGAAAATCATGGTCGCTACGGCGACCTCACCCACAGGCCGATTCTCAAAACTGTCCAGAATTTGAGAAATCGGTTCAATAAAATCTCCTGTGTTACTAAAAAGTTCACAGGAGAAAAAAGCAAAACCAGCGCTGGGAAAGCACGGCCGGCGTCCCCGGAAGGCCTCGGGCGGTGTCACTGTCGCGGCGGCCAGGCCGAGGCCCCCGTCAGGCGCCGAACCCAGGCCCGGACTCCCGAGCCAGGCGGGGATCTGTCCCCCAGTCCGCATCCCCCCCACCCCCCAAGGGCCGGGACATGCAGCGCCCGCCCGTGCGACCTGCCGCCCGGAGCAGGGTCCCCGGCTCACCTGAAGCCCCGCGCGTCTCTTCCGGCCCGCACGTGTTGCAGGCCGCCAGCGGTTCCCACATGCCCCGGCAAGCCCGGCTCCGGCTGCCCGCCTATTGGCTCACTGGATGGCAGCACCCGCCTAAGCCCACTTCTGATTGGTCGAGCCTGCAGCGCAGAGGGTAGGCGTGTCGGAGCAAAGGGGGCGGGATTCTTTGAGTGGGGTGGCCTGTGCCTAGTGAGCCGAGCAGGCGGGAAATTCTAAAGAGACCAGACCAGAGACGGCTCTGCTCCAGTCCACTGGGTCGTTTCCACGCGGCTGCCTGTGTCGAGTTGCCGTCTCCTACGAGCTTGGTGCAACCAAAGGTCGGATGACTAGAGTGCACCCACATCTGCGGAAAAGAGCAGTAGCTACTACCTCCTCCAGAGTTCTGGGGATTCGGTGAAATAATACAGTATATAGCGGGGACTATTCTTTAAAGTCACAGGTTTGAGCCAGGCGTGGTGATGCACACCTGTAATCCCAGCACTGAAGCAGGAGGATCCCAAATTCGAGCCCATCCTGGACAATTTAGCGATTTAGTGAGAACTTGGCTTTTTTTAAAGCCTTTTGGGGTGGGGGGGACTGGGGATGTCGCTCAGGGCGAAGGCCCTGGGTTCAATTCCCAGTACAAGAAAACAGCAGTTTCTGCTTTATTTTAAAAAATTCTTTTACTCATGTAGGGAAGCTTGGATTTGCTGTTTTCCCTCTGAAGGCTCAATAATTTTATTTGATCCGTTCTATGCAATAAATAAGAGGAACAAGAACATACACGTTGTATCACCTGTCTAAGGGACAGGAATCCAACCCCAAGAGGGGTAAAATGTCTGAGCTCTACTCGGAGCTCTAAGGGGACTGGCTGCGGCACCACAAGCCAGGATTGCCTTATTATGCAGATGAAGTCTTTCGGGCCACAGCCACCTGTGTAAATGAGTCCTTGCAGGTTTTAGATCCTGCAAGGATCTTCCTGTAGAAAGATTTCCCCTGAGCCGAAAGGGGGGATTTAAAATACAAACGCTTCTGTCTGCTTCCGCTGCTTCTTCATGTAGATAGACGTACATTTCTTTTATAAGTGGCAGCGTTTCGGAGGCATTCCTGTGACAAAGAATTTGAGGTTGTTGCGGAAATCTGAAAGATTCTTATGAATGCTGTGTATTTATTTTAATGAAAATTCTGTGTATTTATTTTAAGTGAGGTACTGATATTGCATAACAAATGAACACTTACAGCTTTATGATCACAGAAAAATTTTCAGAATTAGCGAGTTCAAATTTATCAACATATTCTTGGGACAGGAAAGCACAAGGGTGTTCTATACAATAAGCTTGCATAAAACGCTGTAGCAGGAGCCAAATGTAAAGAATGCTGCATAGAATGTAAAAAAATAGTCCGGATTGAGTAAAGGGAGACTTTATTTAAAAGGGTTATTTTGAGGGTGTGATGCAGGATGCTAAGAGTACACAATAGGAAGAACAATCCATAAAATCTACAATATCTCAAGGGTTACACAAAGAGCTGATTTGAGGGGAGAGAAAATGGGGTTGAACCCATTAAATGCCCAGCAGGGTCTCACTAAGTCACTAAGTTGTCCAGGCTTGTCACTGGGCTGGGTCTGAGAGCCTGAAACTGAAATAAGGAACTTGACCCAATCTTTTGTAGAAGAAGTGCAGGTTCGATGACTCGCATTGTGAAAAAAGAATTTTCAAGACTCTTCTGTAAGAGGCAAGTTAAGAGTTTATTAGGCAGAGATTTTAGGACACACAAAAATGGAGTGCAGGACCAGGGATTTAGCTCAGTGGCACAGTGCCTGCCTGGCAAATGGGAGCCTGGCAAGCACGAGGTCCTAAGTTTGATCCCCGGCACACACACACACACACACACACACACACACACAAAGAAAGAAAGAATGAAGTGCAGGTGCTCAGAGAAATGAGGTGTGTTATTTCCTGGAACAGGGAACATTTATGCTTCTCTTGCAGGGATGGAAACCCTGGGAAACGGTGCCCCCCAAAAGTACTAGCCCATTCTATAGGCATGTGCAGGTGTTTTTTTTTAATAGAAAATTTAAACACTTTTGAATTTTCTCCACCGGCTCCTTTATTTTGGGGTCAAGTTTCTGCTCTTTATTTTCTCAATTAATCCAATTTATAGACTTTCAGTATTCCTGAGGAATTTGGGGTGTGCTAGATCTGCCAGGACCAGAGCCTAAATTTAACCAAGGAAATACTGATATGGATCACCCTGGGTAATATGGGCTGGGTCCTAGAAGCTGGAATCTTCTTAAAAGTACAATGTTTAGTTATGATTTCCTCTTTCTCTTTTATTTCTTTTATTCCACCTCAGGCTGACCTCAAACTTGTGTGGTACTCCAGCCTCCTCCTCTCAGAATGCTAGTATTACAGATGTGTACCCCTGCCGGGGCACACATCTGCTTTTTTAGGGGATGAGTCTGGTAAAAAGTGGGTGTGGGAAGTGGAAGGAACAGAAGAGATGGGTAGTAGATGAGAGTGAGCATTTTCTTCTGCTTGATCAGTGGGCCAAGCAGTTTAGTGGGTCCCATGGAGCAAAGATGGAAACGGGAAGTGGCTGTGTCTGGCTTTGACTAGATGTCACACGGGGAGTCCCAGAGGGGAATCCAGGAGTTTTATCTCAGCTGGGTGGGGGAGGGTGCTTCTTGGTAGTAAGTTGTTTCTAGAACACAAAAGCATTGGGAGGGAAGGGTTTCCAAACCCATTGCTGTTTTGTTAGAGCACAGTTTGAGGGTAAAACTCAACACTGTCAATAAGGAGAATTTTTTTTTCCATGTACCTTAAAAATGGATATGACTGGGGCCGTGGATTTAGCTCAGTGGTTCCACTGCCTGCCTCACAAGCGCAAGGTCCCAAGTTTGATCCCGGTACCAAAAAAAAAAAAAAAGATATGATTAATATCAAATCACTCTGCTATTCAGATTTCATTGCAGTTATTTGGCATATTTTATAAAGATATCAATACAACCTTTGTAACTACTTAGATTCTTTTTTTTTTAGTATGGGGGATCGAATTGGGGACCTTGTGCTTGTGAGGCAGGCAAGGCACCATTGAGCTAAATCCCTGCCCCACTACTTAGATTCTTGGTAAGAACATTATTAAGCAAAACAGTTTGAGACCCCAGTGATGATGGCCTCCATACTGCATGTCACTGGGGACAGCAGTACCCCTAATCCTGCTTCTTTAGGAAGCTACTCAGCCTACCTACCAACTCTTTATTTCTGCGGTATTGGGGAATGCATGCAGAGCCTTTGTTCTGAGCAATGTCCCCAACCCATTTCTATTTTTTTACTTTTTATTTTTTTGGTACTGGGATTGAATTTGGGACCTTGCGCTTGCGAGGCGGGTGGTGGCACCACTGAGCTAAATTCTTGGCCCCCCAACCCATTTTTAAAACTTTAAATTTTGAGACAAAGTCTCTCTAACTCACTAAGTTACCCAGAGTGGAATAGAACTTTTGATTTTCCTACCTCAGCCTTCAGATTGCGGCGATTATGATATGTGCCACCATGCCCAGCTACTTACCAGCTCTTAGAGTGAAAATAGCTCCTCTTTCAAAGGCCAGGGCTTCTCTGTAATAGAACCCTTTGGGGTGGAACCTGGTGAGGAAAGCATATGGTCAAACCCTTCCCCCAGGGACCCCACAGTTTCAATCCCGGAGCACATGAGACATCTGGAGACACGATCTGCTTTTCGAGCACGAATCCTTATGGACCATCCAGGCACTATTATGCCTGCTGTGGGCACCACTTTGAGGGCTTCGGGTGGGCTGTGGGGATCCTCATGGATCTGAGCCAGTCGTAGACCTGAAAGGGTGTATTGATCTGACCAATTTTCAGAGCAGTGGTTCTCTCAGTGTGGACCCAGAGCAGCAGCCTAGAGCTTGGCTGGGAATTTGTTGGACCTGGAGTGAGATAGCCAGGTGGGGGCCCAGTGATCTGTATTCTACCGAGCTGACTGGTTAGCAGCTGATCCTGGTGCAGGGCTGAGTTTAAGACCCCTTGAGTTAGAGGGAACGAAGCTGACAAAACTCTGGGGGCTAACTGTAAGTCAAGCAGCTTCCCTTGTGTGTGGGGTGGGGGGCGGGTACTGGGAATTGAACCCAGGTCTTTCAAACTGAGGTATTTAAACAAAATTTTTTTTTAATGTTGAGACAAGGTCTCATTAAATCGCTAAACTGCCCAGGCTGAGCTCAGACTTGCAACCCTTTTGCCTCAGCTTCCCGGAGTGCTGGGATTACAGGCCCATGCCACCACAGCTGGCTCTACTGGCACTCATGACCCCACTGTGGCTGGACTTTGGACCTACCAGGACATGGCCTGTCACCAAGACGATTGTGGCACTTGTATAGTGCCCCTAGCTTCTAAGAATTTCCAGGACTCATAGATCCAGGTTAATTTCGCACAGTATTTTAATGAAAGACCGGAAGGATTTGATCCAGGGAAATTTTACTCTCCACCCTTGCTCGCCTAACGAGCAGTTGCATCGAAGGCCCAGCAGAGGGCGCCGCATCCCCGCACATCCAGGGAAACTTGCAGTTGCGATGTGAGCGCTGGACCAGGACCGCGAAAGTCGGGTGATGGGTGAGGGTGAGGAACCCGAGGCCCTTTTTGGGCTACCTAGAAGATCACCTCACGAAGCACTAAATTGTGAATCTTGCTGAGTGACTTAGAGGCAAGCCACAAATTCTAGTCCTTGATTTCTGTGGTTTTGCGGTGGGGAGGGGGTTGGGGTGCGTTCATTCTTCCGCGAATTGCAGGGCATAGTGACCTGGGGAGGGGAAGGGTCACCCCTTAGGCGTGGCTACAACTCCACCGTGGTTCGAGGTTCCCGGGCGCCCTGACTTCCGGGAAGGGGACAGTGGGGGAGGGGGAGTCTGTGCCTGTGCAGCTCTGCATCCACGACCGACTTGTCCCAACAACCTGCCACGGTGGAGGTGACTAATTCCATCCTGCAGTTCAAGGATCCAAGGCTCAAAGACGTTAAGTGACTGGCTTAAAGTCACACACCTGTGCAGGGGTGCAGCCAAGATGGACACGTGCGTGTTTGACTTCAGAGCCAGGACTCCCTCCTCTGCGCACCAACAGGGGCCCCTGCATCCACCTCTCCAACCAGGAGCGGACCCCACTCCCCAGATGCTTGTTTCCGGAAGTAGGCTTTCTGCCCGTTTACCTGGCTCCAGCCCCAGATGCTGCCAGGAGAGACTGACTCTTGAGTCCGCTGTCCCCCTGCTCTGCTCATCCTGACATCCGGCCGTGAGGAGCAGACACCTGCTGAGCGATGCCAATTTGCAGACTTCTCAAGTGTGAATGAGATTTCTAATAGAACTGGCTGCCCACTGGCTTTGCTATGGTTAGAAGTAAAGGGAGATGTAGATCTGAAATGGGGATGGAGAGAATTTAGAGGAGGGGACGGAAAGGCAGAGGGAGCAACAGCAGGAGCCTCTGGGTAAAATGAAGGGCTTCCTAGGTTCAGAGAGGTTAAGTGCCTTTCTAAAGGTAACACAGCTGGCAAGCAGTAAGGCCAGGTGAGCTCGGCTAATGGTTGCATTTTTAGCATTCCCCAAAAGTGTACAACTCCCAGCCCAATTTAAGCTTGTGAGACGCTGTAGTGTTCTCAGCTGTGTGGGCAGAGGGAAGGTTGGGGATAGACTTGGAGAGGAATATTGAGGGCGTTTGAGTTTGCTGCTTGACAAATTGCCCTCCACCAAGGGTCTCAAGATCCGGACTTGGTGTCTACCTTAGGACAAGGTGCCCCCAGGCAGAAGCATCACCAAGAAAGGCTGGCAAATGGATTTTGGTCACTCCTGCTACCAGAGGGGGTGGCACCCAAGGCTGGTCAGAGGACAGGGCTTGCCCACCCCGCTTTCTCTCTGGGTGAGGCAGATTCCAGGGTCAAGAAGTTCCTCTCCCAGTCGCCCACTCCCTCTGGCTCAGGGGAGCATGGGGAAAGCTGCTGTCCACCTTCCTGCTGGGTCGCGTGTCCTGAGCTCATATCCCCTGGTGCCACCCACACTGTGTCTCTCTGGAGCCACCGTGCACCTGGCTGGGGAGCCCCAAGTTTGGCTGCATGGAGCCTCCCAAGGTGGGGGCCCAGCATGGCATTGGGTGGATGAGTGAGTCCCTCAGGGGGACTCTCTCCTGCCCTGAGTTGGGGTGCAGCAGGAGCCCCAGGCTCCCGGGAACAGGGGCCCCACCTCTTCCTGTCACCCTGGAGTGTGTCCTGGTGCTTGTCCTCGTCCTTGGTTCTGAGAAGTGGGTCTGAGTGCTCCCTAGGGACTACAGAAGGCACAGGGGAGAAGCCCAGAGAGGCCCTGCCCATCCTACACCGCTGAGAGGCGCTAGCACCATGCGGTAGACTGGGACTTGTTGTTGGGCACAGCGAGACAACAACAAAATCACTAGTCTTCCAGATGGGGCTGGCTGCTCGGCCTCGGTCACACCTGCTGCCCGACCGCAAGCCCCCACTTTCTCTCCCATTACCCAGCTGCACCACTGCCACCTCAGAGCTCCCAGCTCTGCTCAAGATGGGGGAGCAATGATTTTCTTACTTTCCTCTTTTTTTTCTGAAGCATTCTATTTTTTTATAATGAAAATAATGGAGAAAGCTCATGTTTGCAGGGCAGTGAATGGGAAGCTCACCTTTCTACCTTTTCTTCATGAATCACAAAGAACTGTACATTGAAGGAGGGTGGGAAACAGGAAGAGCTGGAGGTGGTCGTGTAGGGGTGGTGCCCACCTGTAATGTCGTCACTCTCGAAGGCTAAGCCTGGGCAACTTAGTGACTTAGCAAGACCTTGTTTCAAAATAAAAAGAGGGCTAGGGATGCAGCTGAGTACAAGGGTCACACATTTGATCCTCAGTTCTGCAAAAAAAAAAAAAAAAAAGCTGTAGGTAGTGGTGATCCTCCCTGCCCAGGCCCACAGTGAAAGTCCTCAGAGCCAGTGCACCACAGTTCAGAACGAAGCCCGCTGGTGGGGTCGGACCAGCAGAACAGAAAGGACAGGAAGAGGGGGGAACCCTCGCTTAGGTGTCCCCTCCCAGCAGGCAGGCACAAGGCTGGGCTCCCTGGTTAATATCCCTTACAGGCAGCACTGAGAGGAGGTGAGGCGAGGGCCCCGCTGCCTGGGCCAGCCTCTAATTGCACTGGCAGGGCACATCCGCTCCTTAATTAGCAAAAGCCGCAATATCCTGGCAGCTTGAGAGCATGGCCCTAATTGTATTTCAGCAGCAGCTGAAGGATAATTACCCTTCCCTATAGGTACTTTTAATTCTTTTGCTTTTTAATTCTGAGCTCTTCCTCTTTAGCTGACCCTCCATTCTCCCCATGCAGAGTGACAGAGAGACTCAGGGGCCATGGGGGACGATGTGCAGAAGGTTGGCAATGTCCAGCAGTCAGCCAGAGCCAGGGGACGGTCCTGTGTGGGCCTGAGGAAGCTCAAGTTGCCCTGTGCAGGATGCAAGGGTGAGGGTTCCTCCCTCCCCTGGAGGCTGAGACTCTCTGATCTGCACCTCATAGGGTGGGGGCTGGCTATGAGCTCCAAGCTGCAATGACCTGAGGTCCCCCCCTCCCTTTGGCCTATCAAGCAACACGGAGGAGTTCATTATCCTTGATTTCTTTTAAAACAAAACATAGCCCCTTGTGTCTGTCACTGGTGAGAGTGGGCTAGGGCACTGCCAGCCCTAGCTGTTGCTTCAGGGAGAAAGACCAGAGAACACAGCTCACTAAGTCAGGCGTGAGGGTTTCACAGGACAGGTTAGGACCCCAGTTGTCCTAGAGCAAGCAGGCCTTTCTAGGGTACCTTGCAGATGAATGTCAGATGGGAATGACAAGCTACAGACGTCACAGGCAGAGTTTGGAGAGAATTGCAGCAGCTCTCTGGACACCATGCTGCGGGCCTGTCCACGTGAGCAGCAGCGGCTCTAAAGCCACCAACCAAGTCACTATCCTGCTCTACGCTGTGCTCATTATTTCCTCCCAGTGCCCCACACACCTCCTGGCTTAGATTACACGCAGAGCTGGGCGAAGAGGCAGTGAAAGTGGATTGACCCGTTCACACCACATAACCCTCCTTTCTGAACCCTGCCTCTGTTTGGGGACCAATCCAACAGTGATGGACTTGAGCTGATGATGACCGTGGTTTTCTAAAATTTCTAAAATTCTTTAATTCTGGGCTCTGCCTGGGAAGATACAAATAGAAAAAATAAAGGCTGCTATAGTCCCAGAGAAACGTACCTTGAAAAAGTGACCTGCTCTCGAGCCCACAAAGTCCACTCCCCACTTCTAATTTCTTTCCTCTGAATTTACAGCTGTCCCCTTAGCAACGCTTGTTTCCATGGTTTCCTCCATGACAACGATTCCTTAACCCCTCTTCTCTTACTTCATGACAGTAATGGGTGTAGGGATCCTCAGTGTGGCTACTCCACGTAACCATGGTAACGCTTAATTGAGCCTTCGTTTATCTTTTGTGAGGAGAGCTAGGGAATATGAAGCTTTTGATTTAGAGGGGAGGCCAAGGTAGGGATGGGTCCAGGGCTAGAGCTGCCGTTCTCATGAAGGAGAGGTTAAGGGACTTGTAATGCTAGCTGGTAGCATTTAGTTCAGACCTGTGTTCAGCCTCTACTTTAAACATGACTAAGCTTTAGGGAATCAAAAGTGACAAGATGTAGTCCCTAATATTGAAGGTTTTATCATCTAGCACTGAAGCGGATGGTCCCACTGACACTGGACGTGATCCATGAAGGAAGTGTTCCTGGTAGCAACATCGTAGTCAGGTATATGTCCATCCCCTGCATCCCCTCCAGCAAACACCAAGAAAAGATTGACCAAGGGAGTCTGTACTCACGTGAAGGCATCCTGCAGGCTGCCAGGCTTATAGGAGAGTTTGTCCTAGAACAAGGGAGAATCTTTGACTCCTCTCTTAGAAATGTGGAAACCAATGCCACCATTCCTAAATTGTACTATTGATTGCAGGCAGAGAGGAAAAAAAATCCCGGACCTGCCCAACACCAACGCCATGAGGGGCTGAGATAACTTTCAACTCCAGGGGCCGCATCATCAACCTGCCACAAGCCTTCTTTGGTAGCAATAGGTCTGCCCTCACTCTGACTTAGAGGGTCACCATCTCCATCCATTCAGCTTTTCTACTTCTCACTGAAAATTCAGGCCAGAAGGAAAGCTAGGAAGAATGAAGTTGGAAAACAAACAAATCAAATAATCATAGGATAGCAAAGCTAACAGAGTGAATCCAAAATCAGCAATAACTATTCATCTCTTCTAGCTTTCCATCCTTACCCTGTAAAGTTTTCACCATATCCCTAATGGTGAGAACCAATTCTGTACTTCTAGGGGAAATCATAAAAAAACCCTGGGTCCTCAATGTGCTGATACCAATAGCCTACACTGACTTGGGGTGATCATGACATAACATAAAATGAAAAAAAATCCATAGAACAATGTATTATGCAAATTTGTTCAAGTAAACTACAAGTAGCAAGGTAGAAAAGTTCATCCTTGCCAGTCAAATGCATTCTGGATTAGCCAAAGTAAGTCTCAGATCCTGGGCCCCAGAACTCTGAGTTCTACCTTTTGCTACTGGGTAGCACTGAGGGAGATTTAATCATCCTGGCTACCCGGCTCACTCAGCTAGTCAAAAAAGGATAAATGGCATCCTCTTACTGGGTTACAAGGCATTATACACCAACCAATGAGAGAATGGTTCTTTCCTGGCCAGTAAGATCTTGCTTATATTCTCAAAAGGAAAGTAAATCCTTTGTCCATAAAGAAATGAGCAGAAAGATAATTTTTTTGTAACAAAATAACTACTATTGCTATAGGACATTATTGATGTGATCAGTGATCACTGCTCAGGAGAATTAATAAAATAAAGCATTTCTTTGAGGAAAAAAGTACAAAAACCAGAACAGCTGTCTGGTCTGGTCTGTCAGAAATTTCTATAGAAACACTTGAGAGGCATTTTAGCATAAATGCTCACCAACTATATCTAGCTGGTCCACCAAGGTCATTTTTGGCCATAAGCATACATTGAAATTATAGTGATTTAAAAAAAATATTTTATCAACAAAGGAAGGAAAAATAATATAAGGAAAGATGTTTGTGTTTGTTGGTGCAGGCACTGCAGGTGAGATATGATGGTTACTGCCTAAAATACAGACATTTTCTCCCTGTGCTCCCAAGTGATACCTCAGTTTTAAAAAAAGGGTTTTCTTTGGAAATAGAAAATTCTTGGCTCTTAATGAGAAGTATTCTGGATAAACTAATCTACAGGACATAGGTTGTTCTAGTAACTCGCTGGTGGTTTCCCCTTAAATCACTCTGAGAACGGTTCAGTTGCCTTTAAAAAACTGCGGGTAAAGTGCTTCTCTAGCCAGACGATACGAATGAACGCACGGGAGCAGGGCTGACGGGTGGAAAGTGGAGTCAATATTTGTCAATCAGGGCAAAGAGAAAACAGAGGACCAGAAGCTGGCTGCACTGTGCTTGCTGGTTGTGAAGGGGATGCTGGGAGGAAGGAGAGAGAAGAGAATCTTGAGCCAGCGGCCACTTCTTGAGGGAGATGTGTTTCTCCCTTCCTTGAGGTCTGTGGGGTGATTCAACCCAGAATTCACCTCCTCCCCCTGCGAGGGGTCCTTGGGGCCTGTGATTGCTAAGACTCTCTTCAGAGTAGATAGATACCCTTGGATGAGAGTCCTGCCTCCCTCTCGTTCTCCCACGAGGAGCAAACATATTTTTCTCATTTAAAAGAGGGGGAAAGGGAAGAGAGAAAATGGGGAGAGATCAGCGCCTCCAGTATAAAGGAATAAGTGTGTGCGCGTTGAGGGGGGCAAAAACTGTAAATCTTGAAGAAATGGCAGGGTAGGTTACTATTACTTCTAAAGCAAGTGTTGGGGGGTGGGGGGTGGGAAGGATTGAGGGGAAATTGCCCCGTGCCTTGATTTAAAAGGAAAAATTCCTCTTCCAGGATTTCCCCAGGTAGTGGGGGAGGATTCCTTGGGAGGGTGGTGATTTCCACCCAGCCTGGGGAAGGCAAGGGCTCCCAAGGCACATTTTAAAGAGTCATGGTGCTCATGGGTAATCAGTAGCCAAAGCCCCTCCATTCACTGTAACCAAGGCAACAGGAGGCTGGGGCTGCGGCTGGTTGCCCAGCAACCACGCATTGCTGAGTTTTGTCCGCTCCTCTCCTCTTCCCCTCCTCTGTTAGCCCTTTTGTGGTAGATTCTCCCCCTTCGGGGCTTTTTGCCCCCCTTCCTGGCAAAACAATCTCCTCCGCTGCTCGTACAAAGGGCACTTTGGGTGTCTGGATAAAAAAACGTGTAACTTGATGTTCATTGGACAGATTTTTTTTCTTACCCCTAAGGGTGAGGACCTAGAAAAAATGTGCTTCTCCCCTCGGCTTCACTATCTTCTCTCTCCACCCCAACGCTTTTTCCTTCATTCACTTTTAGTAGGGCTACGGAGATTGTGGAGCGGGAAGGGGCGGGCGAGAGAGAGGCTGTGGCGATTTTCCAAAGATCTCCAAGGCCAGGGACACAATAGACGCTGCGCGTTCCTGGCCCCTACGAGCCCCGCTGAGCGTGCGCGTCTTGTCCGGGCGCCGGCCGGCACTGAGCACTAAGTTTTCCCGCTGGACGTACTAAGAGGAGACAGAACGCCCGCCAAGAAACCGACACCCAGACCCCTGGAGAAGGTGGGTCCCTCCTTCTGCAAACCCGTCTCACCTCAGGCACTCCTCTGCGCGGCGTCCCAGGGATCGTCCCGCGCTCAGCGGGCAGGGCGCTGTCCAGCTTCTGGTGCTGAAGCTAGAAGCTCGGATTTGCCGGGGAGGGGCTCCAGAGACCTGACCGCGGGATTCTGACCGCTAGGCAAGGACCCGGCGGATGGAAAGGCGAGACTAGCACGCACCTGCGCTAGATGTTCGTTTTCAGTAGACAGGGCTTCCGCCTCTCCATTGCCCTCCCGGGTTAGTGAGTTATTTGCCGCTATCTCAGTGGGTAGGAAGAGGGGCCCTGAACACTGAGATGATTACTCAATTGCGTCTGGGAGCTTCCCACATTTCCCCGTCGGTGCTGGGCTCTCGGGATATTGGCAAGCAGAGTCTCGGGGCTCTTGGCGCGCCGATCGGTTTGGGGCTCTTCTCTGGGTGCAACAGGTCTGTTGAACCTGGAACCGAGAGGGGAGCAGCCGAGGTGACGTGGAGGGGCGGAGGGGCTGGGGGAGGCTGGTTTCCAAGAGCCGCACTCCCGAGGTTGGGGAGCGCGTGCCCGTCTCCCCGCAGAGCGAGACGCCCGCGGCTGGATGCAAACCAGAGGTCCCTACAACTCCGGCTGGCGAACCGCAGGTGGGAGCTCTCGGCTGCCAGGCTCCGGACAGGCCCCCCAGCTCACCCCACTTCAGCTTCGTGGCCGCAAGAGGTAACCTTTCGCAAAGCCAAGCCCGGGGGCCCCTTGACTAACCTGGAAAGGGCCCGGGCAGGGACTTGGTCACCATGGCCGGAGAGGAAAATTGATTGCTTGCTGTCCACTTCTTTCTGGAAAAAAGTCCCCTCCTACCCTGCCGCTCAAGCTGCAGAGCAAGGGCGCGGGGAGGAGGATGAGGAGGGAGGAAGCCTTTTGGGGAATACTTGCCTCTCCCTGGCTGTCTGTCCGGTCCGCAGCCGCCAGAGTGGGAGACAGGTCTGTAGTTCCGACAAGGTCCGCTCCAGTGTCGACGCGGTGGACACGGCTGCGGGGGCCAGGGGACAACAGCTGCTTTAAAGCCGGGAGCAACCCACAGGTGGCCTGTCAGGGAAACGGACGTCCGTGACGTCATCCTGAAGGCAAGCAAGGGGGGGGGGTCGCCGCGCTTCACATCAAAAGTCCCCTGTGACCATGGCAACAGGTTCTGGGGGTCCAAGCTTCAGCAGACTGCAGCCTACTTCTCCCTCCCCTTGTGATTCTGCGCTCCGCTGGGCTGGGGTCAGGCCGTCAGGCTGAATCGAGCTGCGTCCTCTCCAGAGGAAGTACCATAGCTACCCCTAGGGCCACCTTTAGGTCCCCGTGCGTGTTCCACCACCCAGGCTGGTTGGTGAGAGCCAGAGAGGGGCTGCCAGGTCCAAAGGAAGCGGCTGGAAGAGACTTTAGACTCCCACAGGGCGATGGTGCAGAATCTTTGACTTCCACAGGGACCTTTCCTGTTCTTCCACCAGCCACCTTCACAGGCCAGACGTGGCTCACTTCCGGAGAGCGTACCCCACTCCTGCACCACTGCGGTGCCACAACTTGCACTCCAAGAGCCACCTGGCCCGATCCTCACCTGTCAGGGTGGACAGACCGAGTCTCTAAAGCTCCCCCATAGCTTCAGAAAACTCACAACCTGGCCAGAAAATAACAAACCCGCCGCCACTGACCGAGCACACATTTCGGGGATTGCCAACGGCTAGCCAGCAAAACAAATGAGACACAAGGGTGTTTTCTTGACCTCCCAGTGTTTTAAATTTTGAAATGCTTGTTGACAAGATGGAGATTTTAAAAGGAAATCTGAGTTTTGCGTGTCCCTTGAGCAGGGGGCAGGTGTGCTGCATGCCTTAGAGAAGCCCTGAAACCTACAGAAAGGGCTGGGGTCCAGGCCTGCTTTTCTTTTTTTACCCATGTCACCAGCTATTTGTTATTATCCTTTTTCTTTTTTCCTTTTATTCTTTCGATGAAAAAGAATGAAAGTGAAAAAATAGTTTTTTGTCTTTATCTCACCTGTAAGCGTCCCAGTTTTTGCCCCCCTGATTTCCCACATTGGTCAGCAAAAGCTGCCATGGTTTTTCTTAGAAGCGGTTCTTAACACACTGCTGGCTGTTGTCACACAGGTCCAACTGGCCTGACAGACTTCCATGTTGCCCACATCCTGACAACAGAGGCAGCAGGACACTTCCTCCTACGAGGCAGGATTTTGATTTGTTTTGTTTCTATTTGGGGGTTTTAAAGTATGCAGGTATTTGGAAACACTTAAAAACCAAGTTTTTCATTTATTACGTAGATATTTGGTCACACAGAACTTTTTTTGTTTTTAATTCTGGAGATGGAATCCAAGACCTCTTTAAATTTAAGGAATAATATCTCATTTATAAGTATATGGAAAAGTAGGGCTGTAGCTCAGTGGTAGCATGCATGAGGCCCTGGTTTCAAATCCAACACACACATACACACACACACTAAAATAAATGGAGAAATGGGAAGAAGAAAGAAAATTTGAAGCACTCTCAGACTCACCTTTTGTCATGCAAACCTAGCAGTGTTTTATAAATTCTGATTAGTAGAGTAAATACAGCCATGAAAAATTTGAACACAATGAAACAATATTCAAATAAAAACCACCTTCAAAACCAGGGACACATAGTTGCATCTCACACATTCTCTCTCACTCTGTCACAATTATAAGGACAGTCATTAAATGGGTATTTGGATATGTGCAACATATATGCTTCCCTTAGCAGAAGAGCTCCCAACACCCTGCAAGCAGAAACAGGCTTTTATTTTCATTTACATACTTGCTGTCCTAGCCCAGTGTCTGGGAATTTTGATTGCAAGCAAAGGCAACTTTGTAGCTCAGTAGTAAGTAGTTCAGTCAATTTGGATCTATTCTAAATCTTGTCCAATGTGGACTGTTTCTGGCCTATTCAGGAAAATTAGAGCAGGGAGAAAAATTCTACCACATCACACTTTTTGTGAGAAACTGTTAGGCAGTGCTGGCGAACCTACGGCATGCACGCTGCACCTGGCACACAGAGTCCTCTTTGTCAGCATGCAATCCAAGTCGCCCCAGCAGCAGAGCATCAGATAACACTTGTCTTTTCTAAACTGAAAACCTCAGTATTCGGGTTTAACTGCAGTGTTGGTACTTTGTGATAAAGAAGCAGGTTTGGGGATGTAGTTTGGGGACATGGTCTCTGCCATCTCTGCTGTTAGGTTTCTGGGTGGAGTTCTCCAATTCTTCGTCTTGCTGATTTGATCCTTAACACAGTGTACCTCTGCTGGAGCCATTTCGTTTGTAAGTTTAAGAGCTCTAGGCTGTAGATGAAATGAGAGAACAATAGTAATCATCTATCCATTATCTTAAAAAGACACTTGATACTTCACCAAGCATTTCACATGGTATAGCTGCCTTGATAGCATAGCTGCCTTGATAGCAGAGCTGCCTGTTCAATAGAAGAAGAAGCAGAACTCTCACTGTTTAATTCACTTGAGTTACCAGGGCTTTTTATGCTAAAAAGACCCATTGTCTCTCTTGCATGAATTATCAAAATTACATAGTCAATAGTTAAGAAAGTTAAACCGACAATTTACAAAAATGGGAAAACAACTGGTATATATTTGGAAATGTTTTGTCCTTTATTTAAAATAGAAATGTGAATTATTCAGAATAGGGTACCAATTTCTCCATACTGAATTTAAAAATAAATCCATTTCCCAATTCTGGAGAGGGTGTGGTGAAATACCTTGTGGCAGTTAAAAATTTGTTGAATCTATTGGAATGCAATTTTGTAAGGTATATAAAGAATCATAAACATGTTCATGCCGTTTGAGCCAATTCTTCTTTCTGAATATTCTAATAAAATAATCCTAAATACAGGAAATACTACAAATGTGAAGGTGTACATTGTAGTATTGCTTAAAAAATTTTAAAGGGAAAACAATGTAAATATTCATGTATGAGGGGCTGGAACATCAACCACTGAATGGATGGAATGTTCTATCAACTTTAATGCCTATATATATGCTGAAACATGAGCAGAGAAAATACTCGTGATATACTATCAAGGAAGGAAATAAGCAGAATGTAAATTTGCCTCTACAGTTATGGTTAAAGTAATGGCTTAAAAAGCATGCATAGCTCTAGGGATACAGCTCAGTGGTAGAACATGTGCTTAACATAAGCAAGGCCCTGGGTTCCATACTAGCACGGTAAAAGGGGGGGGCATGCATATAAAAAGTAGAACAGAGGTATATCAAAGTGTGATGAAGTTTTTATAGGTGAATTTCAATTTTTTTATCATGTACCTCAAATTTTCTGAAATATAATATAGTTTTTGTAATTAAAATGGAGTATGATAGAAATATAAGAGTGGGTGGTATTTATTAGGCATCTATTATTTATCTAGCACTGTTCAGATGGGCAAAATTAGGACAAGTGTGGAGACTGGCCCTCAGACCCACACAGGCTGTTTCAGATCTTGCCTAGGGTATTTGGTGACCGTGAGATGGTTTGGCTGTATCAATAAAGAGCTGATGAGAAACATTTGGTTGTTGGTCAACTCAGATATATCATCAGCGCAGCTGGCCTCGTACTTCTCTCCAATGAGCTTGTTCTGTTCCTGGCATCTACTTCCTGACCATATTTCCTTCCAAACCTGAAATAATATGATGATAATCTTAATAATAATATTTCCCTTATATTTTTAATAGTAATACTTCACATTTTTGATGCTCCCCAGTTTGTTCCAATTTCTATTTTTTATTGGTACATTTGTAGTAGATAATGATTACATTCCTTGAGGAACTTGTTACATGTACATGACACACCTGGATTCTTTTTCACCCCTTCAACCTTCTCTCCCTCCCCATCCCTCCATGTCTTGGTCCCTTTCCTATTTGCAAAAGATCTATTTCCCTACAATGCTTTATATACCTTTACATCAATTTTAAAAAGTCCAACTTAACTGTTGCATCATTTAATTATCACAAAAACCTTGGGAGGGCAGCTATTACTTGCTCCAGTTGTATTTAACCTCTGGTTAAGTAACTCCTAGAAACCTACAGCTGATAAGTTTTAGATCCATCTGTGATTTGACTTCTAGACATTCTCTCTTCACCGGAAAGTGGCAGTTTAACTATGGGTAATCATTCTTCTTTGGATTAGAATTTAAATTGGAGGCTGTTAGTTGGCTTTGTGTTACTATAACAAATACCTGAGCTAATTGACTTAAAAGAGAAAAAGTTTATTTTGCCTCACAGTTCCAGAGAATCCAGTCCACCATTGGTTGGTCCCTTGCTTTTGGGTTGTGGTGAGGCAGCACATCATGGCAGGAGTGTATGAGGGAGCAATGCTGTTCAAAGCTGTGGTTGGGAAACAAAGCCAGAGGAAGAGTGGCTGGGATATCAACATCTCCTTCAAGGTGTACCCCCAATAACCCAAGACCTCCCACTTGGCCCCACCTCTTAAAGCTTCTCACCACCTCCCAATGGTGCCAAGCTGGGGACCAAGCCTTTTACAAATGAGCCTTTAGGGGACATTCCAGTTCCAAACTATAGCAGAGACCAGATTGGCAGCTCAGCTGACTTTACTGCTATCACCATTGGCCACATGATGATAATTCTGGGCACAGCCAGTTTCTCCAGTATTTTCATCATTAATTCCTTGTAATGTACAAACCTGGACCAGATGTCAAGATTCTGTGAGGGGGGATAGGGATGCAGCTCAGTAGAGCACTTGTGTAACATGCATAATACCCTGGGTTCCATCCTCAACATTGAAAAAAATTTTTTTTTAAAGATTCGGTGAGGATCAGATATTCTGCCTGTGTTCCTGAGCTTCTAGATGGGTTAACATTTCCAAATGTATATTTTCTGAAAAGGAAATTGGTCCACAGCTGTTGAGAGACTTCATTGCTACAGATGGCTAAAGAGTCACTGGTCTCATGCCAACATCTCATATCCCAAGTGTGGAACCAGAACAATATGAGGAACACAGTCGGCATACACATTTACCACGTATGCTGGGAATCCCGGGAGATGGGGAATCTCTCTTCCTTCATCTCACTTCAGTAGCAAATATTTCTCAATCCTTGCCTGTTTCCAAAGAGAGTTTTAATTTTTTATTTCAAGAGCTAAACTAGCCTGTGGTGGAAGTCATTAGAGCAGAAGATCAGATAAAATGTTCTTTAAAAAGAAAATGTAATATTGGCAATAGTGACACCAGTTCAGAAAGGAGCTATTTTAGAATTTAGACTAAACTTGTCTTTGGAAGATTTAAAATGCAATAATGGAGAATTACATACATACATATATATATATATGGTTAGGGTATTTTTGATAGTCTAGATACCTAGGCAATTCTAAAAGTGATGCAGGTTGTTCTTCAATAATATAATCATCTTAAGAAATGGGAAATTTATCATTTGCTCCAAGTATGAAAAATCATTTATCTTGTACAATAAAAAGTTAAAAATTTATCATCACTTTCATTTAGCTTTTTATGTCTGTACACTTAAGCCATTGTATGTCTGTACACTCATGCTCATAGCACCGCTGCTTACAGTAACCAAAATATGGATGCAAGCACTTTCAGCCAT